GACCCCCGAATGGCGGCCAAGAAGAAGAAGCCAGTTGTGGCAGAACCCGAAGCACCAAGGCAGGAAATACATCCAATTGTCTTCCCGGCCAGTATGACAGGCAATGTTCATCATGAAGCCAAAGCTCTTGATATCATTGAGCTCACAGGCCTGCCCACTCCTGGTGAATACTATGAACCAGGTTGTCAACAACACCAGAATGCTTTGGAGAGCATTTTTCAGAAGTCAGAACGCAACATGAGCCAAATGTTGAGCATGATGAAGCCTTTGCCTCCCGACGCTGACTACCCATCTGAATTCTTTGTTGAAGACCTAGAGTATTTGCCTCGCACCATTTATCATATCATCAAAAAACTCTATGGCCTGTCAAAGGACATTCATCTGCAGCGAAGCTTGAAGGAGCAATGAAGACTTTGGTTTTCTATATCTTCAATGGCATCAGCTTCAATGCTCAAGACTTCTTCATCAGGCAGTTGGATGCATCTGGCTCCGACATTTTTGGTCTGAAGTTTTATGATCCATGGGTAATGCGCCTTATCAAGCTTCACTCTGCCATCAACTATCAGCCATCTGCGCGCAATCATCTTGTATTCTTGCCAGAGGTTGATCTGTCTGTTGAAGCTATTTACCCAGAGCCTGCTAAGGATCCTATTTATCTTCACAATGCTGATCACCAAAGCTTCACCCAGCCCATTGAAGGAGTTCAGGCAGTCTCGCGTGTTTATCCCTTGGCTGGCACTACACGTGCCCCTCGCGCTCAAACTGACACCACTGGAAGCACCATTGTCCAAAGGCCTCGGAGGCGATCTCGTGTTCTCAATGACCGAGAGCTTCTCGTCGCGCTACACCAGAAATAGGACAAGCATCACAACTGGCTTAAGCGTCAGATGCAAAGTCTCTTGGTGGATGTCAATCGCATTCGCAATCTTGCCACCAAGAATGCCTTTGTTACTCATGAAACCTGTCGGAGGTCTTGGAAGAGTTTGACATTGCTTAGTGCTGAAGCTGATCTGCAGGACGATGGCTTCACCGAAAGATTCAAGTTTGACTCAACTCCCCCAAGGAATGCTCACTTGCATCGGACTCCCTCACTTGAAGACTCTAACTATTCGTCCTCAGTTGCGACAGTGAATGCCAAAGTCATCGATGACCAAGATGATGCAACTTCACCTCCTCCAACTTCAGCGCGTGTCGACACTGTACCAAGTTCTTCTGCACCACCGGACCTCAACGACGACCCTGCTGCCTCGCATGCACCTCATGGGAATGAGTAGGCGCTCTATGCCTTCAAACCTTTTTGGTCCTTACTAACAAAAGGGGGAGAAGCATATGAGTTGATAGTCTTCAAGCGGGTCCATATGGGTGGTTGCTTTACTTTTTGCTACTTTTGCCAAGTGCTTACAACTCTCGCTTTCCGATACATTTGGTTCTTTGAGTTGTAACACTTAAACTCGATGGCCGTCTGCTACTTATTTGCTATTCAGTAATGCGATGATAAATTCCGCATGTGCGATGATAACTTCCGCACTTAGGTCATTTTGCAGACGTCCATTTTTCATTATGCATGTCATTATCTTCGTTACATCAAAGCATGCATGATGAATTGTCATCATAAGTTGAAGAGGATCTCCACAAGTACAACCTGCCATGTGCATTTGCATTCCAAAAGCAAATTACTTATATGCACATCTTCAGGGGGAGCCTTTGCCACTTATGAAGACAATACCCTATCCTTTACAATTTCACATATTTTATTCCCCGTTGAAAACTTCAACCAGTTTGTCATCAATCACCAAAAAGGGGGAGATTGTAAGTGCATCTAGTGCCACCCCTAGTTGGTTTTGGAGTATCGACGACAAACCTGGTTGAGGGACTAATGTGTTTGTGAGAATTGCAGGATAACACAGGTAGAAGTCCCTCATTGATTCGGTTTTTCTACCAGAGATGACCCCTAAAAATGCATGAAGACATTGAAGTCAAAGGTGGTATCTGAAGACATTCACATTGAAGACTATGGCAAGAGAAGACATTGCGTGAAGACTATGGAGCACGAAGACTTAGTTGTTTCGTCGTTCTTTTTCTTCTTTGTTGAGTCATAGGAACCACCGTACTGTTAAGTGGGGTCCAAGTGAACCAGTCAGAATGACTGAAGTGATGCTTAACCAAAATCCTATATCTTCGAGCGAAGACAATGAGAGCAAATCTTATCCAGAGCTGGATAAGGCAGCTTTGCTTGTAGCCCAAGTAAAGTTGTCGTGTGTGTTTGAAATCTGACTGTTGGAACACGTGTCAGTTCCTTAGTGACCCAGGGTCATTTCGGACAAATCAGGTCGGGTTGCCTAGTGGCTATAAATAGCCCCCCTATAACCATAAACGGTTGGCTGCTCAGAGTTAGTGTACGGCTTTTGTCGTTTGAGAGCAACCCACCTCAAAGCCTTTGAGAGAGAATTCCTTGCGAGGACAAAGCCCTAAACACCCAGAGCCAAAGAGTGTTAGGCATCACTGAAGTCTTCTTGTCTGTGTGATCTGAAGACTTATTACACTTGAGGACTGTGAATCCTCCAGCCGGTTAGGCATCACGTTCTGAGCATCCAAGAGTCATTGTGGATCGCCGGTGAACGAAGTCTGTGAAGGTTTGGAAGTCTACCTTGAAGACTTACCAGAGTGATTGGGCGAGGACTGGGTGGTCAAGGGGAATAAGGTGAAAACGTGGTCTTCTGAGTTGAATCTCAGCCTCCCTAACCAGACGTACAGTTGTCACAACAACTGAAACTGGTCCAACAAATCATTGTCTTCAACGAACCATTGGTTCCATCCTTCCCATCTCTTTACTTTCAGATTAGTCCTTGTGAAGTCATTGCCTGTCTGCATTCTCTATTTGTCTTTACTGTGTGACTGCTGTTCTGATTGGCTTCATACTATATTCCATTCTGGTCTATACTGCCTAGCTGCTATTAGTCCTTGTGCTTTCATCTCATTGAATACTTGACTATGACTTGCTTAGTGTAGTCTACCTTTCGATGCATAGTAATAGATTGGTTTCTATCGTTTGTCTTCGAAACTTCCATGTTTTGAAGACTTTCATAGAAAATCGCCTATTGACCCCCCCTCTAGTCGATAACTAGCACTTTCACTACTACTATTTGCGGGCCGCCGACGACGACCAGGAGTAGTTTATGAGGATCTCGGGCATGAGGCTTGCGCCTCTTTCAATCTGTATCCCAGTTTGTGCTAGCAATCTTATGGCAACTTGTTTAACTTATGTCTGTACTCGGATATTATTGTTTCCGCTGACTCGTCTATGATCGAGCTCTTGTATTCGAGCCCTCGAGGCCCCTAGCTTGTAATATGATGCTTGTATGACTTATTTTATTTTTAGAGTTGTGTTGTGATATCTTTCCATGAGTTCCTGATCTTGATCGTACATGTTTGAATCAAGGGCGTCACACGCTTGCCAAGAGCAAGATGGGGGAATGGTGTGTTTGTGGCCGTGGACAGATTCTCTAAAATGGCTCATTTCATCCCATGCCGCAAGACAAAGGATGCTCATCATGTGGCAAGCCTATTCTTTCGAGAAGTGGTTAGACTTCATGGAGTTCCAAGGTTCATCGTCTCAAACCGTGATAGCAAGTTTCTTGATGCATTTTGGCTCACTTTATGGAAGCAATTCAACACTGAATTGAAATATTCTAGCACTACTCATGCACAAACAGATGGACAAACAAAAGTAGTGAAAAGTTTTTGAGTAATATGATCCATTGCATTTGTGGAGAAAGAAAGGGGCGATGAGATTTGGCTTATCTCTTACAGAGTTCTCCTACAGTAACTCCAAACATAGATCCACGAGGAGCCCTTTTTTTATTGTCTACACTAAAGTTCCAACACATGTGGTGGACCTGGTGAAGCTACCATCAAGGGGAAACTCAAAATTAGCATTTTCCTTTGCTGATAATTACACCGAGTTAGTTGAAGAGATTCACGATGCTTTGAAAGCACAAAATCAGAAATATAAACAACTTGTTTATTGCGAAAGGAGGCCAAAATCATTCCAAGTCAGTGATAAGGTGATGGTCTACCTCCTAAAAGAGAGGCTGCGTTTAGATGCATTTAGATGTTAAAGGAAAACTTAGGCAGCAGTGGTATGGGCCCTTCTCTATCGTGAAGAAGATAAATGATAATGCTTATGTAATAGATCCTCGAAGTGGCATGGGTATCTCCAACACTTTCAATGTTGCAGACTTGACTCTCTATCATCCAAAAGAAGCGCTCTATGAAGATAACTCGAGGGCGAGTTCAAACAACCAGAGGAGAATGATGAGGAACACTGGATGAGAAGAAAGAAAACACATGCCGCATCTGTTTGGCTACTTCTAGATGCTCCCACTCCAGTGTAGTATTTCTTTTGATTTCTTTACCCTACTCACTGTTTCTAGAGTTCTCTAGTTATAAGTAGATGAATCCTAAATAATATTTTCTAGAGTGTTCCAGAGTAAAAGTATCTAAAGGCTTCCCAAAGCCCTATAAATAGAGATCATCACCTCTACTTTGAAACCAGACTATGTACCCACTTACCTATAATAGAACTTATTGTTCTTATCTAAGATCTTGAAGTAGATTTTATGCTCTAGGAGTTCTGGATTGAACTCTTGCTGCCATATCAGCCTACATTCGCCTCTAGAGCAATATTTAGCACGGCACGGCACGTTAAAGTTGTTCCTTCAACACTTGTGTTAGTACATATTGTAGCAGCAAAGTGAAGTTGCTCCTCTACAACCTTTGTGCTGCTTCACCCACTTACAGCTTGCGCACTCCGCCTAGGTGAGCTCCCGCTTTCGTTGGCGAGAAGGGAAGAAGCAACATGTTCCGCTCAGCGCTCATATTAAGCGTACCCAAACTTCGCAAAGAATTCCTTCATACACACGTATATATGCATGTATACCAATCTGGTCCCAGCAATGTAAGTGCGTGATTGGTCTGTGTGGATGTTCGTATGATATCAATTAGCGACATACTGATTGCGGTCGCCGTTGTAGGTCAACTACACTGGGTCGCAACAGGTCCTCTGCATTGTCATGGTTGACGGCTGTCCTCTCTTTCCCTGTTTTTTCAACAAGATAAATTAGACAATGAAAATCAAGAAAAATGAAACAAATGTCCACTGACTGTTATGATAACACTCCCGCATTGTCTTAATGTTCTGAATAAACATGTTTCCGCATACGTATAGCCAAGAGTAAACATTTAAGTTGATACAAGCAATCATATTTTAATATTTTTATAAAACAAATGTGTAGCAGGCAAAGGCCAATAGCCAAGATGGCGTAAACAGGCAAGCATGACATCCACACACACAATGGCAGGTGTCATCTTATTCTTTAATCAAATGCATCCAGTAAAGTGATTGATTTTTTAAAAAAACACTTGGAAGGAAAAAAATGGAACACGTCAAATTAAATTATAACACCCACCTGCTTTTTTCTTGTTGGAGCTGTGACAAATTCATTAATAGCGCTATTGTTATTTGTTGATAAGCTAGCTGTAACTGAATCATGATGCTGATCTTCTAAAGGTCGTCCACAGAAAGGCTAACCTAGAGAATTCTCACCATTGGGGCAACCCTCATGATTAGCTTCCAAGGGCATGATAGATGGAGAGTCTTCACAAGTAGGTGAGTAATAGAAACTGGGGCCAGAAGAAGCGTGGGCATGAGTTCTTCGACCCACGGCCAAGAGATTTCCATTGAAATTACAATGTTTTCTTGTAGGTACATGATATGGAAGGTTAGAATCTTTTCTTCTGACTCTAAATACACCCCATAGATAATAGGACATGTTCCATCCTGAAGCAGAATAAGGAAAAGTAAGATCTATCAGCGTAAAACTGTGATCAGATAAAAGCATCACTTGAATAGGTGAGCGACTTCTTACTTTGAAAGCTTTTTGGCAGGATATTGGAAGGAAATATGAGCAATTCAGCTGTTTCAATGTTTCCTCTGAGTGCCAAATCGCCTTTCAGCATCCATTCTACTAACTTACTGTAATGCCTCTCATAACTGTAGGCAAAAATATAAGCAATTTAAATTATAAGTTTGTGTGCAGTTCAACTAATATCCTTTTCGAACAATTGAAGTATAATAATGAAAGAGAAAAGCTTCAAGTGAAATACCTCTGGATATCTTGTGCAAAGAAAAAAAGACCAATACTGTCATACGAAAGGCCATTTCCATGGAACTGTGGGGGCCATATATTCCGGCGAGGAAGTTGCTCAAGCCGGATTTTAGAAGGGAATTTCTTTGCTATTTCCAAAACCTTTTGTGAAGCAGAACATGATAAGTGTCCTTGCAAGCCCTTACAAAACTTAGATGACCGTCCAGTCCTCCATATTTCAAAACAACCTCTGTTCAAAGATAAGTAACTAAAATAAATTTTAACACATATGATGAAAACAATTACTTAAATACAAGTTGTTGCAGTCATGGATAGTTGCAACTATCAAGCACACATGAGATGATACAAAACCAAGTATGAAACATGAAGATGTGGGGAGCAATTTGTATGAATCACCCCTTTGGGCGTGATACATCAGATCTGCATCTGGTGGTCCAAAGAGTAACCAGAGTACTGATAAAAATTGACAACATTCAGACAAGATGCATCTATCCTGTAACTTCAAGTCCGAATTCGATCCACGCAAAGCGACAAAAAGAAGATTTTTTTTTTGTTGCTCATTATAAACAAAAGAATGAGAGTTACTCCCTCCAATCATGAAAACAAGGCATGTATCTTTCTACCAGAAAATGCTAAAAGGAGGGCGTGCATGCAGTTTTTTGGACTATCTCCCCCAAATACCCCTTTGCGAGGGCTCCATCTGACCAATCAAACCGAGCGACCTGGTACTGCAGGCCATGCATGGTGCATGCACCCATGACATTAAATATTCATCTAAGCATTATTAGGGGTAGTATGGGCAAGAAAACAACAGCTGGACCTTGCCTTGTACGCCCTATCTTCAGGGTCGGAGGGAGTAACTATTCATAGAGAAAATTTGTCTTTTTTTCAAGTGCCAATCAAATTTTGGTTTGGAATTTGTGACATACGAAAAGCATCTTGTGTCAATTTTGTCAAAAACGTTCGGACATCTTATGATATTTGTAGACATCCATCTGTTTCAATCTCATGGATTTCACCTAAAGGGTGTTTCCACAAAAGTTGCTTTTGAAGATGGCCTGACTACACCTGTTAGGTTTATTAGTTCAATGGTGATGGCAGGTCTCTGTAGCAATCAAGTTTATCTAGAATAAGCATCAAAATATATATGAGATAGAGAGGTAGAAATATTACTGCCAAATGTAAGCCAACTCTGGAACACTAGAAGTTATTCTGTCATCACTAGGTGAAAAGATTGGCGATTTGTCCGTCGAATCATTCAACATAGTTGAACTGCTGTCCACAAATCTTCCTCCCATGGCAGATGCAGCCTGATGCTCTTTGTACTTTAGCTCGTGACAATCTACAGAAGCTGTAGTACTAGGAGTAGGCATACCATTTCTCACATCCTGCTCACTGCTTTCCTCATGACTAATGGAGGTACATAATACATTTATAGGCTTATATGATGGGTTATGATAGCGGCGGCGTTTTGGACTTGGCTCAGATTGATATGCTGATTTCAAAATGTCTTCAGTAGCAGTCAAAGTAGTAGCTTCAGATGTTCTATTGCATCTGGCAGTTCGGTCACTGGTTTGCTCACTCAAAGGTTTTGTTACAAACAAGCTAGATCTGCCAACAGGACAAAATTGTGTAGAATGTCCCACTTCATCACATTGTTGACAATGCATTGTGCAACTGCTGCTAGAAGTACCTGGCTTCAAGCTAGGTGGGTTCTTTATTTTATCAACCAGTGAAGTATCCGGGATTTGAATTCCCTTCATCTGTGCACCAGAACAAAGCAGACCTGAGGATGTCTCAGCACTAATTAACGTTAGGCTTCCCAGGACTTTTGCTACAAGCTGTCTCTTTGGTTCACTAGGTGCTGAAAGAAATAAGTATAGTTATCCTATACTGTAAAGTATGCCATAAAAAACATGACCTACACTCCTACAGCACAGAAATAGAGAAGTCTAAAAGGAAAAGGAAAGGAAAAGGGAATATACCAGGAAAGTTTCTACCGTCTTGTCCATAAGCGATGCCTAAATTATCCATCTTATTTTGTTTATTGAGATGCTGAGCTGCAGATTCTGCTTTCGAAGGAACTGGCACAAGCATTGATGCAGCAACAGAGGGATATCCAGATATAGAAGTGCCCCTCTTATTCGTTACATTTCGGGTCATTACTGAATTCATCATTCTTGGTTCCTCAACATCTAGTAAGATGGAAGACTTTCCTTTACTTACCGGCTCGCTAGAGTTCAGCTTTTTGACTGATGTCGACTTAGCAAGTGTGATCACTGGCCCGTCTTGTTTTGTAATTAAGGATATAGGTTCCTTCAGATTTTTGGGCTTTTGAGGAACTTCAGTGACCAGTTGTTTCACCTTCGGGACCTTTGAGTTCTTGAAAGAAATGGACTTCAGGAGTGGACCTGCGGAAACCTTACTGATTATAGTTTTGCCCAATAGCAGCTCGCAGGGACAGTCCCCACAACTGTAAGAGAAGTTGAACATTCTAGATTGTAGGTATAAGCTCCTTAGTTGAAAATAATGATAAAAAATTACCACAAAGAGGTGGTGCCTGATTCTTCAGGGCATTCAATGTCAATGGTGTTGGCATTGGCCTAGCAGGTTCCTTTCCTTTCTCTGTGTCCAGCTTGAGTGAATTTTTGCGCGAAAGCGGCGCTCTTTTTGCAGAGTCACCTTCCATGGATACACCACCAGATTCAGAAAGATCTTTTCCAATCAGTAACGTAATTGTTGCATCGTCTCCTATCCTCTTGGTAGTCATACCGTTGGATTGATTTCTCATGTTTGAGTTTTTACTACTCACATGTGCAGCCTCCATTTCATCCTCAAAATAACTTCCGCTATTTGCATCATCCACAGGTTTATTCGTTTGCCCTCCAAAGGACTCTAATTTACATGCACCAACCATTACTTGGGATTTTTCTAGTTCCGTCCTTTCCTCTGCAAATTCTACCTCAGTTTGACATGCTTCACACAACCACATGACATCTGGAACCTTTTCCATCATCACCTGCATACAATAACTGGGACAAAGAAAGGAGTTAACATCCTTAGAGCATAATAAAAACACCATCATTTTATGAGAAGAGATTATGCAAAAGAAATGATGAATTGAGAAGTTTAGTAACTGCTATTGTGGGAAAGCATAATGATTGTGTAAGTTGTTACTTTATCAGTGTGCACCACATAAGTCGTTCAGCTTCCAGTTTACATGCCAAAAGAAATGAAAACAGTTTTGCTAAAGCAAATCTAGATGTGCCATAAGTATTGCACATCTAAGTCCTATGTCATTGATCATTCATTGAGATTCGTGCAGATATTTTATTTTTCTTTTTTCTTTTCCTCTTTATGCTTGATTCACTCACTTAGATGTGCAATAACTAGAGCACATCTAGATGTGCCCTAGACACACCCGAATGAAAAAACAATAATTTGACCTTAACCACGGTGATATGCCAACCATCAACCAAGAATAACCAACATCATAAAAAGCAATGGAGCAAAGAGAATCTTACACATGTTCAGCACCATTGCATCTACCACAAACAGTGAGCTTCTCCACTTCACCAACATCTCCACAAATGTCGCATACTTTCACCTATTGTCATTTAAAAATAATTCAAAACTCACTATGGTCAGAGAAAGATGAAACACCTTCATCACATTTTGCATGCGACCTTGACCTGGAATAAGTGGTAAAAATAAAACAGAACACAAGAGTTTAGAACTCACATCTTTGATCTCTTCTAAAAAATTGGCCTCGCTCTGTCTGTTTAACCTTTTATTCCAACGAGCCACATTAGACGCGTCTTTAGCCTTAGAAACAGATGAAACATCATTATCATGCATTCCTAAGATGTGTATCTCTCTATCTAGTGACTTCAAATAAGAAATGTTGATTCTATCATTGGACATCAGCTCACAGTCATGAGAAGCTTTGTTTAGCATGCACAACCCACTTCACCCTCCTTTGTGGAAGATGTACAACCACTTGTGACATTACCTACTTCCTATGTTTTTAAAGCGTCCCTAAGGCGACGCCTAGGCGTCGAAGCGCTCCCCCTCCGCTTTGGAAAATCGACCGCTTTGGG